ATATATATATATATATATATATATATATATATATATATATATATATATATATATATATATATATATATATGACGATGCTCAGTCCCGTCTTTGTACAGTTGTATTTCCNATATATATATATATATATATATATATATATATATATATATATATATATATATATATATATATATGACGATGACTAGGTTTATGAAGAAAACTCTTTGCATCTCTGGGGGAATACCTAGGTAGTGGAAACGAAGGAACTTTTCACTTTGTAATAATTCCTAGGTAATTCAGGTCGTGGTTGAAACATATAATCTGCTTTCGCGAGGAAAAATATGTAAGTCTCCTAACTAGTATTTATGGATTAAATACTACAGTTATGTTTGTCTTAAATTATCAAATAACTTTGTAAGTAGTTTACAAAATCTTTTCTTTATGACTGCTAATAGAAAAAAAAAAAAAAAAATCTTTGTGCGTTGTGCAAGTCATTTTTGCTATATTTTTCTTACTACTTTTACAAATTACTTGCTCCAACCAATGTATAAATAATTTTTCACTATTTGCTAGTCACAAGGCCTTCGCAAAAGATCTCATTCTAAAGTGCTCCGTACGAGGTCAACAAACAAACAAAAGGACAGTAATTTTACAAATCATAGAATTAACTTCGCAACAAACACTTTTATATGATAATACATAAACAAATTAACCCAATCAAATGATTTTATACTCTGTTAAGGGTTATTCGAATTTTTAAAAACACTATATTAATGCCCATTTCTCACTCTTACGTGCCTATTTCTCAATAACAAAATATTAGAGGATATTAATTATCCCTTAACACTAACTTTTTGCGCTAGGACAGAAATGCATTTTTCCCTTATGTATAATATCCTCTAGGTAGGAAGTAGTTATAAAACGAGAAGTATGTGACATACCTATTTATTCTAATTAAGGCATTCTCAGATTTGTTGACTCTTTTCATTGGGATTTTACATGCATTTCCTATTTATACATTGTATCTTTGACAAATTAAATTGCTGTCATGAATATGGATGACAATGGTGAAACAGAGGTATCGTTGTTATCCCCAAAGAGGTTAGTTGAATATAAGCTCAGAACCCTGGTTAGCTTTGAGTTAGCTTTTAAGCTATATACGGCCACGGTATAATTATGTTACATATTTTGATTCCGTGAGTACAAAGAAGTTAAACTGTTTTGTTAATCTTGTCAGGTTGAGGGGAAAAGTTGCAGTTATAACGGGTGGTGCAAGAGGAATAGGAGCAGCAACTGCAAGAGTTTTTGCTGAAAATGGAGCTCATGTTGTGATTGCAGATATACTGGATGAAGTAGGTGCAAGTCTAGCTGATTCTATTGAAGGTCGCTATGTGCACTGTGATGTCTCTAAAGAAGAAGAAGTGGAATCAGCTGTGAAACAAGCAGTGGAATGGAAAGGCAGATTGGACATCATGTTCAACAATGCTGGAATTGCAGGGTTTGGAGGGAGCATTACCAACATCAAAATGGATAAGATGATGACACTTCTTGCTATAAATCTGAACGGGGTCGTGCATGGGGTCAAGCATGCTGCACGGACAATGATAGCAGGCAAGTAGAGTCGTACGGATCTAGAGCGAGTACAGTGTGTGTGTGTTTATATATATATATAGAGCTAGGCTCATTTTGACTGGATATAAATCCTTTACAGGCAAGCATGGAGGCACAATCATATGCTCATCAAGCTCGGCTGCTATCATGGGAGGCCTAGCATCTCATTCCTACACAATGTCAAAAGAGGCAATCCTAGGGCTTGCCCGAAGCACAGCGTGTGAGTTGGGGGTTTACGGGATTCGAGTGAACTGTATTTCTCCTCATGGTGTCCCTTCCGAGATGCTTGTGAATGAATATCGGAAGTTTCTTGGTAATATGGAGCTTAGGCCTGATGAAGTAAGCTCAATAGTGGGGGAAAGAGGGAGTCTTCTGCATGGGAGAGGTGGAAGATTGGAAGATGTTGCACAAGCTGTGTTGTTTCTTGCCAGTGATGAATCTGGTTTTATAACTGGGCACAATCTGGTCATTGATGGGGGTTACACTTCTGCTTGTAGTCAAATGAGTTTCATATACCAAGACTGAAGGTCCAGTTACTGAAAAAGAAACGAAGGTAGTTTGTCTGCTGCTAATTTCTAAATGAGCACTCGGTGAACATCCTCACTTCAAGAAATTACAGTGTGATGACTAACAAATAAAATTATTTCGAAACTTTTATCATATATCTGTAGATTCATTTTCTATTATACGTAATAAGTTTAACACTATGGGATGGAGGTTCACACAGCGTTTTTTTTAGCAATCCACTAGGCAAGTGCCTAGGGCTAGTTTTTTTATATATATATATCTAAAGCAAAAACAAAGCAAAGTAATGTAGAGTCTTACAACTTGCAGAGACATAACATATGTGAATTACATAGTCCCTAATACCAGAGTTGAACATTGGATACTCAACTATGGAAGTACATTTTGAGCTAATTGAGAAATGGTAAAGCAATCTTCTTGTGTAGTAATTTTCATGAATAAAAACTAGCCCTATGAATGCAATGATAGCATCAATTATCCACAGTACCAAGCACAGCGTTGCCTTTTAGTCATACATTTTTTTCCCACTAATATACCACTAGGCTGGTAGCCTAGTGGTGTTTTTTATTAGGATAATCAAAAATAAAACCACATGAGTATGGAGGTCTCACAAAATGTATGTGCGTAAAAAATGAAAGTACATGAAACCTATTATCGAAGTCTTGTGTAAAACAATCCTTTGATAGTACAAAAGAAACTAATAGCCATAAACTTTGAAGCAATTTAAATGATTTCAACGTGCAACACCCCTTTTAAAGGACGGCTTCCTTTGCGTTTGAAGTTGGGTAATTGCACTTGATGTCTTGGTCATCCGGAGACGTCATGTGATGTGTATAACTGGTATTTAATTTGACAATGCATGCTTCTTACCAAATTTGCCCGCAAAGCATTCTAGGATACTCGTCCAGTTCAATGCAGGAACTTTGTTGCGACTGTCTCCTAAATACGTGATCATACCTGGACAATCTGGTAATAAAACTATTATATATAAGTTCCTTATGTGTAGTAGATGAACTATGTGCCTGGGGCTCCTCCGATTCTCACTGAAATAGACCGCTCAAAGCCGTAAAATCCCATGGGCAACCATACCTGAACTGAGCAGTAGAGTATTGATGCGCGTAAAACTGGCCCTTGTAGCTTGAAGAACTATGCAATTTTTACCTAGTGTGATCCTCAGGAAGTAGTAGATGCAAAGGGATTCACCTTCCATAGTGTAACATTTCCGTTATCTTGAAGCATATGCTTGTGAGCAGCCTTCAATTTGCATTTTTGAGAGAATAATTGGGATGACCTATGTAGTGATTACACTAGGGATTGATTATCAAAGATACTAATACCACCCTAATAGTTTTGTCCAAAACATAGAGCCACACCCCCTCCAAAGTACCTGCAAAATTAACAAACATGTTAGAGAAAAAATCCTTCCTTCTCTCCTCCCTAAGGATTTGAGTTGGAATGGTCATGTGATCTCCATCCCCTATTTCTTGCCTTCTTTCTCCATGATACTTTCTCCTACTCTTCACTAGTATGATTTCCCCCGCACTCTCCATATCATCTAGCACCTTGATCAATTAGCATTTGACTTGGCAACTCTTACCCTCAAATAGGGTATTTGAAGTTTGTCATTGTTTAGTATCCTTCTCCCTTGTATGTCTAGTTCCCAAAATGAATGCACCTGTTGTATATGTTGTTGGTCCAATGTCAAGTTAGCTAAATGATCAGCTAACTTGTTGCCTTCCCTCAGTACATGGACTAACTGAATACACCCCTAGACAGTAATGCTTTAATTTTATAAACCTTATTTGCTATGCTCCAAGGTGGTTCCCAAATTTCATCCAGCACATTCTTCATAAGAAAAGAATCAGTTTCAATTATGCATGGAGGAAATTGCATTGGAGTAATATACCTCAGGGCATCTGGAATATCTTGTGCCTCAGCTATATTGTTTGTTGCATCTTTTACTGCATCTGCCTGGGCATAGATGAGGTCTCCTATTTCATCCCTTATACAGAAACCATATGAAGCACCTCTATTGTCTCCTCTGTAAGCCTCATCAGTATTGTATTTTATCCAACCCACAAGAGGTAATTGCCACAACACCTTAGTATACCTCTGTTTAGGAACATGATGTGCTAGCTTCTTAGGTAGGTCTGGCCAGTTTGCTGTGACACCCTTGATGTCTGGTCTCCTTACTTTCAGCAGCATTTGATGAAGGTTGATATCTGGAAAATCAACCTATTAATCGATACATTTTTCCCATGCATTCCAAAATTCCTATTCTTCCACAAGTGCCAGACAATCGAGCTTGGCATTGCTTGGTATACTGCCTTCAAACCTGTATTTCCAGATTTGTTCCACCATTCATTTATCAATTGTACCAGTTGCTTTCCTTGTGTTTTGATCCCGACAGGTGCACCAAAGTAATTCCACATAGACCTGGCAGCTGGAGATGTCAAGAAGGCATGAGGCAGTGTTTCTTCTTTAGGATTCCTACAACACCAACGTCTTGAAGTTCTGTAGTACTCCAGCCTTAAGAACCAATTATCTAAAGGCAGCTTTGCTTTCCACAACCTCCACATGAAGAAACTTATCTTGAAAGGACGTCCCTTTACCCAAAAGAACTTGTAAAGCTTTCTCTCCTCTATTTCTTCCTTATGTATTGCCAAGCAGACTTCACTGTAAATTGACCATTTGTTTCTAAATTCCACCATGGCTTATCCTTTATTGAGTGATCTAAAGCTGGTGTGATCATCTCTAGGATATGGTCAGCTAACTCCTCAGGCAGTAGCTCCCTCAATAACACTTCATTCCATGTCCTATTCTCCACCACATCTTCCACATACTTTATAGATTCATCATACCAATAATCTGGACCTGAAGCATGGTAAAGAGCTCCAACTCCAGTCGCGGTCGTCAAGTAATAAAGTGACTAAAAGTCGGATGTCAAACCCACGAGGACTTGTGATTAACTATTAACTAATTTAGACTATCCTAATTATCTATACAAGAATTAAACCTAGAAGTATTTGATTATAAACTAATTAAAATAAATAAAAACAAAAAATGAACTTTGAACAGAGGAAGAGCAGATTTTTATGTTATCAATATTATGAAAACGATCTAGGGTCATGGGCTATCTAACAATAATATTGTATTCTTCTATTGAATTGACTAATTAATTTATCTGGTTTATTGGTTGATAGGGTTAATATTGCTCATAAGAATCTGTCGAGTTCTTACTCGCCTATTCAAGCAAGCCTAACGCCTACATGTCTATGAAATTAGAACTAACAAGAACGCATTTATAATTCCTATAAATCAACCAAGTAAGGCAATTAGGTATATGTCTATCCTAACCGCAAATCCGTTGCCCGATGCCCTGGTTCAAGAACTTGCTCTACTCAATCCTATATGCAATCTAGAATTCCCACTTTCGAGTTCAACTCTAGATTCGTAGATAGTATTCAATTGGTGATCAAGCAATCAAATAATTAAGTGCAGGATTAAATAAAAAAACCAATATGATAAACTAAGAAATCAAAATCAATATCCTAATAACAGTAGTCATGAAAGAACCACAACCCTAGAACGTGAAGTTTAACTCCACATCGACATGGTAGCAAAACAACAAATCATACAAAGAAGCATAAAAATTACTAAGTTTGGTGGAAGAAAAGATGAAACCCGATGAATTCCGGCCTCCGCAGCGTCTCTAAGCTTGTGTTTTCCTCTTAAAAACGTCCTCCTCCCTTGAAATAGGTTAAAATTGACTTTTTGCCGTTTTGCTCCGATTTTGCTCCAATTCGTGCCCTTTCATTCCAAATTTCATCCGAATGATTCCTACACATAGAAACACCATAATTTAGCACAAATTATCATATTAAACATCTCAAATCATCGAAACAAGAGCAAAATGCGAGGCGATATATATCAAAATATACATACTTTATGCCGATTATCAACACCCCACACTTAGACTCTTGCTCGTCCTCGAGCAATGGAACTAAATCAATCCCCCAAAACATACTTATCACTATGAAAGAGCACTTCACAATTAGTTCAATCAAACACCCTACCTTTGGACTATGATCTATATCGGCAATTAAGTATGAACACACAAATTTCACATTCTTCCCATTTTCAAATTAGCCCAAGTATATACAATACTATTCAACCAACTCAAGCAACCTCTCCACAACCACCTTACCTCAAGAGATGACTCATTACACTAAGTATCCTCAACTTACACGCTCACCTAACAAAAAAAAGTGTACAACATCACCAATCCATCATGAGACCAAGTGCCCTCACCACAAACCAAAGAGTGATTATCAAAGTCCACATTTAAATATGTCGTTGAACATAATTCAAGGACATCACACAATTGAACAAAATTCACTCACTCTCACAAAGAATTCATGTGAATCCCGTGGTCGTACCATAAGCTTGCCCATAGTGTACATCTCTACTAATCTAAGCTAGCCAAATCTAGGATCAATTAGGACTTTAAGGTTGTAATGTAGGCTAAGGGACGGGTAGGATATATTTAGGAATAATGACTAACCCTCCTAAGCACTTTAATACACTACACTCGAAAATCAAGCTCAATTTCTTCTCAGCCCATTCACTTGTCATACACCATATATAACATAGCCCTTTTTGTCAATTAAGCACCTCCATGGATTCACTAGCATGAATGAAAAAATATTAAGAGGTGTGTATCTTTTCACATTATTTGAACTTTTATTTGCTTTTTCTTGCACATTTTTTTTCTACACACACTCCATGCATTGAAGTTCTTAAGCTAGTGACTTTTATTCACAATCTTAGTGCACCTTAAGGGCCCTTCCATGGTTCCACTCGAAAGTAACTCCCAAATCTCTCCCCTTACTTCTTTTAGCGACTAAGTGCCTTAAGAGGTAAAGGTTCAACATTCTCAAATCAAGAAAAAAGTAGGAGTACGGCTTGTAATGTGGGTGCCAAGGAAACGGTCTATAGGC